GATATATAAATATAATTAAAAATTTCAATTAAAATCATTTAAAAAAAAAACAAAAATTTTTTTTCCTCCATTAATTGACATATATATAATCAAAGTGTGAATTTAAAATGAAATAATCACGCTATATAATAATAATTAATGTTAACGCCGTATTAATTTAGTGATATTTTATGGAAATGGCAAAAGTAATAACACGAAAAGTTAATTTTGTTATTGAAACATTTTTTTTAAGGAAGTATTTTATTTATATATATATACAGATGGAAAATGAAAGAAAAATGCTAATGGTTCTCAATCCAAAGAAGAAGGGGGGGGGGGCAAATTAAATTCACGATTATATCGAAGGTGGGTCCCCTCATAAGAGGAGAAACTTGGATAAATTTCGAGTTTAGCGACTTTTCTTATCTCAATGCTCTTTTAAGGAGATAAAAATAACGCCTCCTTGCCAAATAAATATCCAATGATTATTGCCCGGAGTTTTGTAAAAAAGAGGAAAAAAAAAAAAAAAAAAATTTGAAAAACAGAAAAGAGCAAATTAATTTCTTACGTAACAAACATCTTAATAATATTATTGCTTAAAGTTCATTGATAAAAACAAATCATATACTAATAAAAAAAATGAAAGATAAGAAATTATTAATTTTTTTTCTTTAAATCAAAAATGTTGAAATTAAAGAAATTTAATTTTTCGTAAATAATTATTATTATTATAAATAATGAAATAAAAAATAATATAACAAATAATAATAATAATAATAATAAAAATAAATAATAATAACAATAATAATACTAATAATAATAATACCGTAATTAACTCGTGATTAAAATTTAAAAACTAAAAAAAAATTTTAAATTCAAAAAATAAAAAAATTATTTTTGGATTTTTGAAAAAATAATAGGTCTTGTTTTCTACTAATTAAATGTCAACGATTACAAAATTACAATTAAAACCAACAGAGAAATTAAAAATATTTAAAAAAAAAAAAACTTAAATTCAAAAATCAAAAAAATTTCAAAAAAATTATTTTTGGATTTTTGAAAAAATTATACGAGCTTCATGGTACTTGTTTTCTACTAATTAACGTTCGAGGATTTGAATTCTGACATCAAAAACATTAGAGGAACTAAAGCGTTAATAGAATTGCAAAAAAAGTAACTATTTTGGCAAAAAAAAAAAAAAAAAAAAAACTAACTACTTTTTATAACAAACTTTTTTTTTTACTGCAACTCTCTAATTTCATACTAATAGTAAAAGAAAATAAGTAGAAATGAGAAAAAAAGTAAAAAAAAAAAATTTTTAATTCAAAACTCAAAAAAAAAAAAATTCCAAGAAAATAATTTTTGGATTTTTTTTTTTTAAATAATACCAAGCGTAATGGTATTCGTTTTCTACTAATTTTAGATCAACAATTACAAAATTTGACATCAAAAGAGGAACTAAAAAATAAACAAATTTTTAAAATCAAAAATTTTAAAAAAAATTTCAAAAAAAAACATTTTTAGATTTTTGAAAAAATAATATAAGCGTCATGGTATTCGTTTCCTACTAACTAAAGGTGAACAATTCGAAATTAAACATCAAAAACATTTGTGGAACTAAAACGTTACTAGAATTGAAAAAAAAAAACTATTTTGCCAAAAAACAGTTACTAAAAACAACATTTTATCTTTTTCTATCGTATTTTTCTAATTTTATGCTAATTGTAAAAAAAATAAATAGTAAAATAAAAAGTAAAAAAAATTTTGAATTCAAAAATCAAAAAAAAAAAAAAAATCAAAAAATAATTTTTGGATTTTTGAAAAAATAATACCAAGCGTCATGGTACTCGTTTTCTACAAATTGCAGGTCAAGGATTACAAATTTAACATCAAAAACAACAAAGGAACTAAAAGTAAAAAAAATTTTAATTTAAAAATCAAAAAAATTATTTTTTTAACAAATTAATGATTATTATTAATAATAGTAAAAAATAAATAATAATAATAATAATAATAATAATAATAATAATAATAATACTGATAATAATACTATTAATAAATATTATTATAATTATTAATATAATTATTAATAAAAAATATTATTATTATCATTATTTTATATTATTTTTATAATTAGTTTTAATAATTATAATTTAGTATAAGTGTCAATAAATTATCAATTTTTTTTTTTTTTTTTTGCAAAATGAGATTCAAATTAAGCGAAAAAAATTCTCACGCCCAAATCAAATTGGGCTGATTAAGGAAATAAATTATTTGCGCCTATTACATAATGAGTCATTAATTAAATCAACATTTTTTTTCCCTGTTCATTAATTAGTTGTCGAATATTAAGAATTTCTGCAAAATGAATTTCTCAGTAAATTTTTTTTTTTTTTTTTTTTTTTTTTTTTATATTTCTTTAAAGATTTGCTCGTGCGAAAATGTGGCGCGCGCGAGATTTTATAACAACTTTGTCAATAATGAAACCATATAGGCATTTAGAATCGCATTAAAGATTCAAAAAAAAAAAAAAAAAAAAAATTACCGTTTTTTTTTTTTTCATGGCCACAGTGGGTGATCTTTTCTCGCGTTGAGAGATGCAAAATACAATCCATTCATATATTCTTCGATTATATATATATACTAGATTTAGCCATTCATGAAGTTCACCAAAAATATTCCCACTAGAATTTAAATTGTTCTAATTGGAAATTTACTTCGTTAAATATAAACAGGTTTTACTAGTTTTAGACAACTTCTTTTCTTTTTTTTTCTTATTTTTTTTTTTTTTTTTAATCAAGAAGTCAAGAACGGAAATTGTGTCAAAAAAGTTAAATGGATTTTTTTTCATATTTATATATATATATATATAAAACTTTCTATTTTTTTTCTCTTTTTTTTCTTATCATGGAGGAAAATAGATAAACAAAATTTTTATATTTTTTGTCAACAATTGTGTGTAATTAATGGAATTAAAGTGTTTACATAATATCAAAAATTTATTACTCTTTTAAAGACCTTGGCGTATTCAAGGTTATTTTAAAAAAAAAATACTTTGTTTTGAGAAATTTGTACTTTTTGTTTGAAAAAATTTTTTTTTCTAGTTACAAATAATGAATAATGAAAATTTTACACAATTCTGATGTGAAATTTGAAATTCTTGACCTGAAATTAGTAGAAATCGAGTACCATGACACTAGTGTTTTCATTTTCAAAAATCCAAATTGACTTTTTTGAAAATTTTTTCAATTTTTGAAAATTGGAACAACCTTTAATATTATTATTGAATGTTTTTGATAGTATTTTCCTAAAAATTATTTAATACTTATTCTAAAAATTTGTTTTAATTTTAAAAATTGTTTTAATTTTAAAAATTCAAAAAATACAAAAATTTTTTTAAAAAATAAATTTTTTATTTTTACAAATGGAAACACCAGTGTCATGATACCCGATTTCGACTAATTTTAGGTCAACGATTACAAATATAATATCAAAAACTTAAAACTTATTGGCGATTAAATTTTCATGCTTTAGTGATAAAAAACTCATCGTAGTTACAAATAATGAAAATATTATACGATTTTAATGTTATATTTGAAATCCTTGACCTGAAATTAGTAGAAATCGAGTACCATGACACTATAGTGTTTCCATTTTCAAAATTCCAAAATTAAATTTTTTTGAAATTGTTTTTGTATTTTTGAATTTTTGAAAATTAGAACAAATTTTTAATTATATTATTGAATGTTTTTGATAATATTTCCTTGAAAATTATTCAATTATTTATAAAAATTGTTTTAAATTTTCAAAAATAAAAAAATTTTTTCAAAATAGTCATTTTTGTATTTTTGAAAATCGAAACCCCAATGTCATGGTACTCGATTTCTACTAATTTCAGGTCAAGGATTTCAAATTTGCCACCAGAATCGTCTATTATATTAAATTTTGTTCTTTATTTAAAAAATTTAAAAATAAAAAAAAATAAATAAATTTTGTATTTTTGAAAATCGAAACACCCCGTATCATTGTACTCAATTTCTACTAATTTTAGTATAAGGATTTCAAATCTTCAAGGATAAATATCAATAATTGACATCAATTAAAATTATCCACAATTATTTCAACCAAAAAAAAAATATCACTGTCTCATTATTTCTATACGAGAAAAATAAGTTAATAAAGAAGAATTTACAATAAATACATCTCCATTCGACTGGAACGATTTGTGAAAGAAGAAAAGAAGAGGAGTAAATAAAAAAAAAAAAAAAAAAAAAAAATCTTTCGCAAAGTGATGTCCATATAGTGGAAGTAGGTGGCCTGAAGCAGAAGCGCACAAAATGCGTATTAAAAGGGCTCGAGGAACTTGACGTGCTTGACAGGGATTGTAGGCGGCCTGTCAAGGTCATCTTTGCAACATCAGCTCTCATTCTCAAATGCCAAGCCGCCACACGATAAAATCGTAATTCGCGTGCGCTAAGAAAAACGATGATTTATAACACGAAATGCCCCAAAAATTAATTGACAATTTATTTAAAAATATTTTTATAAAATAATAACAATAAAAATAATAATTAATATAATTATTATTATTATTATTATTATTGTTATTACTATTTTTATTATATATATATATATATACAAAATGTTATTAATTACTGTATAAAATTATTGAAAATAATCAATAATTATATTTAAAATTGGTCTAATTTTCAAAAATTCAAAAATACAAAAAAATTTCCAAAAAAAAACTAATTTTTTTTTGAAAATGTAAACCCTGGCGTCATGGTACTCGATTTCTACTAATTTCAGGTCAAGGATTTCAAATATAACATTAAAAACTATAAAAAAAAATTTTTTAAATCAAAAACCAAAAAAAAATTTTAGTCATTTTTAAAATAATATGAGCGTCATTGTACTCGATTTCTACTAATTTCAGATCAAGGATTTCGAATATAACATTAAAATTGTCCAACATTTCTATTCAAGGCAAAAATCTAATAAATTAATTAAGAGCAACTTACCCTGCGTTGCAGTGCTGACAGATCAACAGCTCCTTCTGTAACAAAAAAAAAAAGAACAAAATTAAGTGGCTTTTAATAAACACTTATATGATAAAAATTTTTTTTTTCTAAATCGAATATTGATAAAACGTGAAGCACACCTGTTTATATATATATATATATATATATATATATATATATATATATATAAAGCAGTGACGTTGATTTATAATAATGTGAGCGATAAACAAGTGGGGAATTAATTAATGATATAATATGGAGGTCAATTAACGCCTTAAGATGAACCGTTATTAATGAGAAGTCTCACACATACACCGGAAGTGCCGAAGAGACATCAGAGAGAGACAGAGAGAGAGAGAGAGAGAGAGAGAGAGAGAGAGAGAGAGAGAGAGAGAGAGAGAGAGAGAGAGAGAGAGAGAGAGAGTAACTGAATATAATTGCACACACGATATACATCATCACCCTCGAAAGTGGCGATAAAAGTAAACGAGTTTGTTCTTGGCGAGCGACTGTGTCACGGTAGCCGGGGACTTTTTTCTCTCTCTTTTACTTCACGAGAGTCTCTCTAATAAAGATATGTTTGTTCCTTTATGTCGGAAAGCCACACACTGCTCTGCTTTGTAATCCCAGTTAAATCTGTCCAAAGCGACACTTTTTGTATACGTCAGGTGTATCCAACTTGCCTTAATTGACTATATATACATATATATTCACAAAAAATCAAAATTCCTCAATTATTCAATTAAAAATATTTAAAATAATTATTATTTTAAGCCATTGAAGGTTACTGACACTTAAATTATTTAATTTTTATGCCAAAATAACCAATTTTCGGGTTAAATTAAATTTTTTTTTATTTTTCACCTTAGATTTGAATTCAGAGGGTAGAAGTTAGTAGAAAACGAGTACCATGACGGTAGGGTTCTATTTTTCAAAAAAAAAAAAAAAAACTCAAAATTTTTTTTAATTTTCAAAATTATTTTTTATTTTCTTATTTTCAATTTTCAAATTAAAAAATTTAGTGTTTTTAAATAGTAACATACCGTAATCGAATCGTTTTGACAAAAATTTTGAAAATTAAAAAAAATTTTTTTTTGAATTTTTTTGAACAATTAAATCCTAGCTTCATGGTACTCGTTTTCTACTAACACAATGTCAAGGAATCGAAATCTGCCATCAAAAAACGATTATTCTAAGCTTTAAATAAAGTTCAGCATTAAAAACAACTACTAGATAAATCCAACAGTTAATATTTTCGACTCTTAACATATCGCAATTAACAATTGATAATTTTAACTCAAAATTTTTGAAAATTTAAAAAATTTTTTTTTTTTTTTTGAAAAATAGAATCCTACCTTCATGGTACTCGTTTTCTACTAACTTCCACTCACTTATTTCAAATCTAATATGAAAAATAAAAAAAAATCAAATTTTACAATAAATCGACAATAATTTACAGCTTAATTATAATATAATTGTTCTAGGAACTATTATTTATCTACTACTAGGAAAAAATGAACTATATATGATATATATATATATATATATATAAAATGATAACACATAAACTGTGAAAAATGTATGCAGAAATAAGCAAATGAGAAGACTTCCCATTCCATATATAATATGCATCATTTAAATGTTTATAGAGCGTGATCGCATCGAGACGCGATTCGATTGGTTTCTTTTGATATATCATATATATATATATATACGTGTGTAATTATTGAAAGCGTAGTATGTTTACGTTAACGAAATTCCTGACGAATGAAATAGCAAGGGTTCAAAGGGGGAGGCAGGGAGGGGGGTCTGACGTTTTATGGAAACGCTTCTCGCCTACGCCAATCACGTGTGGCGCTTTTGATATATCAACTTTTCGTATATATATATATGCGTGTGTATTTAAAATTCCCACAATAAATATATTCTCGTGCATTTTTTTCAGAATTTCATTCACAAGTCTTACAACTCTGATTTTTATTTTCTGCTTCAAAAAGTATTGTACGAAATAATTATTATTATCGTTACTATTATTATTATTATTATTATTATTATTATTATTATTATTATTATTATTATTATTATTATTATTATTATTATCGTTACTAATATTATTATTATTATTATTATTATTATTATTATTATTATTATTATTATTATTATTATTATTGTTATTATTGTTATTATTATTCTTATTATTATTATTGTTATTATTATTGTTTTTATTATTTTTTTTATTATTATTTATTTATTATGTTCATTTCAAAGTTCAAATATATTTTTTTAAACCAAATTTTATAAATTTCTTGGAAAAAAGGTAAATTTCTATTTTCTTTTTCCTTTTTTTTTTTCAAACAAAAAAAAAAAAAGTACAAAAATTGTACTTTATGTGAGTACATAAGAGAAATTAAAATTTTAAGTATAGGAAAAAATTTCTAACAAGGCTGTAAGGTGAAATGAGTATTTTTTTTTTTTTTTTTGAAAAAAAAAAAAATGATACGCCAATATATAATTAAGAGAGAGGAGACACTTATCGAGAGGGTAATGTCGCATATATTCCGTTACGTGTAAACTCTTCTAATATTGTCGCTGGTACTCAAGGGTGACGATAATTGCAAAAGTCTCATTATTGGCTCTTGTTAAAATTTTTCTTTTTTTTTTTTTTTGTCTTCCTGTTCTCTCATTAGAAAAGTAATTTTAATTTTTTTATTGTATTTCGTATTTTATATACAAAATTATCATGTTTTATACTTGATTCTGTTATATATTTATTGTAAACATAAATTAATAATAATAATAATAATAATAATCATAAAAAATACATTTTTTTTATTAAAAAACATTCGTACTTATAAATGGTGATAATATTCCACAATTCCGAAGATGAATTTGGAATCATTGACCTCTAATTAGTAGAAAAGGAGTACAATGAAGGTAGTGTTTAAATTTTCGAAAATTTCGAAATTTTTTCAAGAAATTTTTTTTTTTAATTTCGATTTAGTGTAAAAAAAAGGGATTTGCTTGCATTAAAAAGTGGTTTATACATTTTTTTCTTGGTATCAGTGACAAGAGTAAGAAAATTTTATTAACGAGGTGATATTTCAAAAAATTTGGAAAATTTTGAAAATTCAAAAATTTTTTTAAACTTTTTGAAAAAGTAACACTACGGCTTCATTGTACTCATTTTCTACTAATATTAGGTCAATGATTCTATATTTTATGACAAAAAACATCTAAAACAATTTCTACTATGAAAATTTCAAAAATTTCAAAAATTAGTTCTACTTTTTTGAAAAAGAAACACCATAGCTTCATTGTACACCTTTTCTAGTAATATTAGGTCAAGGTTTCGAAATCTAATGTTAAAAAAGTTCCAAAATAACCTCTATTTTGAAAATTCAAAATAAATTATTTCAGGTTTTGAAAAAGAAACACTATGGCTTTACTGTAATCGTTTTCTACTAATATTAGGTCAATGTTATTAAATATTATGTCAAAAAAGAAGTAAAAATAACCTCAATTTGGAAAATTTGAAATAAATTTTTTGCAGTTTCTCAAAAAGAATAACTATAGCTTTATTATACTCGTTTTCTACTAATATTAGATCAATTTTTCTAAATATTATATTAAATAACATCTAAAATAACCTCTATTTTGAAAATTTTGAAAATTCAAAATAAATTATTTCAGTTTTTGAAAAAGAAACACTATGCCTTCACTGTAATCGTTTTCTACTAATATTAGGTCCATGTTACTAAATATTATGTCAAAAAAGAAGTAAAATAACCTCAATTTGGAAAATTTTAAAAAATTTTGAAATAAATTTTTTGAAAAAGAAATACTATAGCTTCGTTGTACTCGTTTTCTACTAATATTAGGACAATGTTACTAAATATTATGTCAAAAAAGAAGTAAAATAACCTCAATTTGAAAAATTTGAAATAATTTTTTCAAAGTTTTTGAAAAAGTAACACTTCGACTTCATTGTACTCGTTTTCTACTAATATTAGGTCAATGATTTCATATTTTATGACAAAAAACATCTAAAATAATCTCTACTACGAAAATTTCGAAAATAATTTCTACTTTTTGAAAAAGGAAACACAATAGCTTCATTGTACACCTTTTCTAGTAATATTAGGTCAAGGTTTCGAAATCTAATGTTAAAAAAGTTCCAAAATAACTTCTATTTTGAAAATTTGAAATTTTTTTTGAAAAAGAAAATTTCATTACTAATTTCGACTTAATCTCTCTATTGTGACAATTTAATTTAATAGAAAAACATTTTATTTTAAACATTATTACAATGAGTAATTTAAAAATAATTGAATTTCCGTTTTATTTAAATTGTATATTTATTTACTCGTGGATAATAATAGGTAATACTATATATATATATATATATATATAATACGCGCACACATCACATAAAATTCGTGAACGTAATAAAGTTTAATGAAGCAATTTTATTGAGTTGTTTCAGAAAGGTGAAGTGCAGATCAAATTACAATTAATCGATTCACGTGAAATATTACTCAAATAACATACACAAAGAGAGAAAATCGTGCGCCCGTCTAAACAAACCTAATCGTCAGCACGCGAGGGTTGAGGGCACGCTGCTGAAAATTGTTTGCAAGTTTGAAATACTTGCACACCTACCTATTTCTATAATCGGTCGTGCTCCAACGAACTCTAAACTACCGGAAATTATTAGTTTATCTTATATATATATATATATATATATATATATATATATATATATATACAGTAATATTTTTTTTCGACAATAGGACCCAACAATTTTGGAATCCGGAACGGAAGACACAAAACCAATTTGCTTCTATATATATCCAATTATCGATAATTGCTTTTATTTTTTTTTTTTTTTTACAAAAATACTCAAACGATGGATTCATTAAAGATTAAATCGTTGTGGTGAATTATTTTTTGTATGTGTGTTTGTGTTTATTATATAATTTTTAGAAATAGAGTTTATTTTACATGTTTTTTGACAGAAAATATTAAATTACTGACC